ACCGAACAATTATACAATAATATTACGGAAAAGGAACAAAAACTAAACGAAAAAATGTCAAAAATACAAAACAAAACAAATGATATATTAGATTTACTAATGAAAAATGAAATACATAATTTATATACAATAATCATTAATCAATATTCCTACGAAACAGAAATATTAGGACAAATAGTAACTGCCGCTAGAGAAGGTATGATACATCCAAGTCTTATGACACCACAAGAACTAGCATCAACATTAAAAGCAATAGAACAAAATATAAAGAAAATATACAGTATTCCGATGGGAACAAAGAGATATGAAATAAATGAATTTCAAAAAATTACAAAATAAGAATCTACTATTCGAACGACAGATTAGTATTCGATATAGTAATACCACTAATTATTGACACTGAACTCACATTATACAGGTTAACACCAGTACCAATGCGTCATAACCAAGATAATTCTAGTGGATGGTACATGATGGACATTACTTATAATAATATTGCTGTAACCAAAGGCTATAAAAGGTTTACTACATTCACAGATCAACAATTAAACGAATGTAAAGAAACATCAATATACAAAATATGTAATACACCACAACCTATACAGGACAACAATGAACGCCAACCATGCGAAGTACAAAACTTTTATAAAGCTGACACGTATGCTAATCCTGAGTTATGTACAGTAAAGAAAATAAATTTAAAAAGAAGCATATACCAAAAATTAAAAAGAAAAAATACATGGATTCACGCAGGAAAAGAGACTTTAACTGTAAGTTGCGCGAACTTAATAGACTCATTTATAATACAAACAAATGAAGCAGGAGAAATAGCTATAAACGACATTAGTTGTCAAGTATTTGCACGGGACGCAGTATTAACTGCCACGGAAGAAATCCAAATTACAAAATATAAAGACTTTACACCTGTAACTAACATGAATAATATTTTAGAAAAAATACCCGAACATATACACAAATTCGAAACAGACGAAAAATGGGAAAAGGGACTAGCTATGCAATTCACAGATTTACACGATGCATCCAAATCTTTAGACGAAGTACAACAAATGATTAACCAAGAACTTTCAAGAGAACAAAATCAAAAGCATCAATTTGTACACAGTAATTTACTATATGTAACAATAATACTGGCAGTAATATCTATTATACTAATAATAGCGATTTACATAATGATAAAATGCAAGTATATCAGGTCCACAGAAGTCATGGAATTTCCCGGCAGAATAGTTAGATATAGGGCACCCAATAGAAATGACTACATACGAAATTATGAAGAGACACCCTTTACTCCACCCCCTTCACCAAGATAGTAAAATAAATTAATTAATAAAATAAATAATAACAATAAATAAAAAAAAAAATAATAAAATATAAGTTAGAAAAAATAGTAATAATATAGAAATAATAATAATTAAAATAGAGGTAAACAATTAATTTAATAAATAAATAAGAGCTAGGTATATGTAAACTATTAAAGAAATACTATATATATAATTATGTTTCAGGAAACAATCAAGAGGGATTTCGAAATAAATATAATAAAATATATAAAAATGAGCGAACCCACACCAATGCCTGAGCCTAATGTTTTTTATAAGGAACTAAGGGATAGGTTAATAAATGATACACATGATCAATTGGTACTAAGGAACACAATATATGTACGTTGTTTTAGACAACACGTAATAGACGCAAATAATAATATGCAAATACCTTTTAACGAAACTGAACTTGAAAACGTTATGGGTCCGTTAACAGCCTTCTTTTGCACTAGATGTAACCGCGAACCAGCCTGTAATTCAATGTGTTTAAAAATCGCAGAAATATTAGATCAATATTATATTCAACACCAAATTTACAGTGAAGAACATATTCGATAAATAAATTAAACAAAACAAAAAAATAAAATAAAAATAATAATAAAATATAATACGTGCATAAGGAAATAATACGTAAAATAATATCCTATAATTTAAAATAATATTACGTGCATAAAAATATAATAATATATACATATACGTAAATAATATTCTAAATAATACTTATATAACAATAACTTTTAACTATTTCAGAAATTAAGAAGAAAACAAAAAATATATATAAAAACAAACGTAAAAATTTTAAGTACAAAATGGGTGAGAACATACCACCTGTAGCACGAACCGTTCGAATGCAACTACAAACATTTGAGTTTCTCAGAGAATTAAAAAACGAATTAATTGAATCAACCAGTCATACACAAATAACTCGAGGGGAAGTAATCAGATTACATTGCTTCCCAGAACATATAAGAAGGGCGAATAGTAATATGACCATACCTTTCAGGCCGAATTTCTTAGCACGGGTCATGATCCATGTTAATGATTTTGTACGCACAGTTATCTTAAGACCAAATCATAATCGACCAATGTGTGTAGAGTTGGGTTTACTAATAGAACAACTAATCAGACGACGCGAAATCATTGAAACGATTTTCGAAGAATAACCTCAGGAAACTATATCATATATCAAATATCATATATCATGTATCATATATCATATATCATATACATAGCAATAAATACTAAAAAAAAAACCAATTTAAGTTTTTTTTAAAGAAAAATAATTATTTTATTTTAGCTCACAGGTACGCTTTTTTATAATGGATTTCGAGTTCTTTACCGTCAGTAAGAACGAAACGATACTGGTATCCGGCGCGATATCGAATAGTTTAGAAAAATACCAACCCAAGAAATTGGAGGGGAGTCCTCTTATACTTACAAAGGATGATAAGTTAAGAAGATTCCGCCGATGCGACCTAAAGAAAACAGTGCAGAATATCAAACGAGTATTCCGAGGGAAAAAGGCAAGAGTGATCGAACCATTGCTGGAACAGTTATACAACAGTATAAGTCGCCAGGGGGGATCAACCTTGTCTACGGTATACTTGCAAAGATATTTGCATATAAACGATAGGGAGCCGCTAATAGTATTTTGGAACGGAACGTCAGATATCACGATAATTAAGCGTTTAAGATTAACAGGAATTTTAGCATATTTAAATATATCGGCAATTAGCGTTAGGAATAATGACGAATTTGTATTAGAATTATCAAACCTAGAGACTAAGGAAGTTTTATATTCAGGTTAAATTCGAATTTCGATAATTTGCGGCGGACGTGTTAAATCTGAATTCGAAAACTTCCTTAGTCTCTAGGTTTGATAATTCTAATACAAATTCGTCATTATTCCTAACGCTAATTGCCGATATATTTAAATATGCTAAAATTCCTGTTAATCTTAAACGCTTAATTATCGTGATATCTGTCGTTCCGTTCCAAAATACTATTAGCGGCTCCCTATCGTTTATATGCAAATATCTTTGCAAGTATACCGTAGACAAGGTTGATCCCCCCTGCCGACTTATACTGTTGTATAACTGTTCCAGCAATGGTTCGATCACTCTTGCCTTTTTCCCTCGGAATACTCGTTTGATATTCTGCACTGTTTTCTTTAGGTCGCATCGGCGGAATCTTCTTAACTTATCATCCTTTGTAAGTATAAGAGGACTCCCCTCCAATTTCTTGGGTTGGTATTTTTCTAAACTATTCGATATCGCGCCGGATACCAGTATCGTTTCGTTCTTACTGACGGTAAAGAACTCGAAATCCATTATAAAAAAGCGTACCTGTGAGCTAAAATAAAATAATTATTTTTCTTTAAAAAAAACTTAAATTCCCACATAGCATACTAACTTTAAATAAATGTTAATTTAATGTAGTAATTATAATATTAATCATTAAATAAACGTTGAGTTTTGATTAAGAAACGTTCATTTTAACATTAAAATAAACTTGCATTAATATTGATTGGACAAAAACTTTAGGTTGAATTAACACTCTTTTCTAAACACACAACCAATGTTGTTGAATTAAGCTCAATCAAACCTTGGTTTTAGTATTTAATAATATTTATTTAAGATTTAATAAATCCAAATAAACCATAATTTATGCATATTATTTAACCTTCATTACCAGTGTTTAATTAGTTACTAAATATGATTATGATGTATTATAATTCCTTAGCATTTTGGTATATTAAGGTCATAATTCATAGAATAAATAAAATAATAACATACAATATAATATTATGGGCACACAATATATATACTCAAATCTGTATTTGTATTCGATAAAAAATCATAACAATATTGAATGTATGTTTTTTTTATTGTAATAGTATTTGTTATATAAACTATACATGTATACATATTTTACAATTTAATATGCAATTGTTTGTAATTATAAAAACATTTTTAGTTTTAATAATAATAATATAATAATATTTATTCTAAATTTTTAAAACTTAATAATTATTTGCCTTGACAACTGCAATACATGGCCATTAGATTTAAATATAATAAAAATTAAGTAAAATAAGAATTCATCGAAAAAAAAAAATTAATCCGGTTGCTTTCCGGGTTCATTTGAGATAAATAGTTTGTAATTATAAAAACATTTTTATTTTTAATAATAATACTATAATAATATTTATTCTTAATTTTTAAAACATAATATTTATCTGCCTTGACAACTGCAGTAAATGGCTATTAGATTTAAATATAATAAAAAATTAAGTAAAATAAGAATTTATCGAAAAAAAAAAAAATTAATCCGGTGGCTTTCCGGGTTCATTTGAGATAAATAGTTTGTAATTATAAAAACATTTTTATTTTTAATAATAATAATATAATATTTATTCTTAATTTTTAAAACATAATATTTATCTGCCTTGACAACTGCAATAAATGGCCATTAAATTTAAATATAATAAAAAATTAAGTAAAATAAGAATTCATCGAAAAAAAAAAAATTAATACGGTGGCTTTCCGGGTTCATTTGAGATAAATAAAAATAACACTCATTGCCACACATCCATGGAAAAAGCGTTGCATAGATACAAAAAAAAAATTAATGGTTAATTTGCCATAGTAGTAACCACTACAGAATCCTGTTTTTTTTTAATTTAAATGGGGATTGAATCAGCACATACTTAATAACTTCTTCTATGTCATTAGTACAAGTTTCTATCATAGAAAACTTCTTGATTTGTTGAACAGACTCTAAAAAAGAAAAATCCAATATTTAACAACAAATAAATTATTACAAAAACAATAATAGTATGAGTTAAATATGAAACAATAATTTTATTTTTTTTTACCTAACTAACAGAAACTAATATTCAAAATATAGTTAAAACTATATGAAAATCATCTTACATTTATTAATCTTAGCTTGTTGTCAGTAGTTTACAAATAATATAGCAAAATCATTATACTACACATATATAGGTTTTTTAAAATTAAGTTAAATAATGTTATAATGATAACTGAAGTTTATATTCTATTATTAATTATATTAAGAACACTATTCAGTCCTTTTTTGTAAAATATATTTTGTTGATAAAGGAATGACTCATGTTTATTATATCTCTTTTTTTAATACAAAATGTAACACTTATGATAGACAATATTTGTAAGATAAAATAGGTATAAGGTTTAGGCATTTAAATGTTGTCACTGATGATGTTTAAAGTCTATTTAAAACAAGTAAATAGAGAACAGAACTCAGCTGGTATTGTTGAATGTAAAAAAAAAATATCACTTATCAGCTATCAAACTAATATATATAATATAGTGCAATTATACATACAATTCTAGGTCATAACAAGTAATTTAACATTTTATACATAAAAGTTATATATAAAATATAAATATATATATATATGAGTACTTACGAAAAATTAATTTATTGATCATTAATTTAGAAAAACTATGTTTTTTATTGCCACGCCCGTTGTATGAAAATTCACAAAGAAGTTCTTGCATAAACAATATAGACATAATTCGTTTGACCATAATCTTAATGGTTTTTCCACCGATTGCCGAAAGTCGTTTTACCTACAAATTAAAGACAAGTTTATAATATATCTAATCAATATAAAATTTAATATAAATAATAGGATGAATACCAAATGAGCACGATAAGTTTTATCATTCATTAATTTTATTTCAAGATTGTCCAACATATCTAATGAGTTTATCGGCAAGTCTATGTCATCAAACTGATAATTATCAGAAATATCAGTTTCATTAATCTTGGATTTCAAGTTGTTATTATTTTCTTCTACAAGTTGGGTAAGATTATTTAGTTTTTCATCAATTGTACGTATTTCGAATTTCATGGTAAGCAGCTGGTGGAGGACAGACTTTTGAAAACCATTATCTGTTCACAAAAACATATAAAAGATATAATATTAGAAAAGAATATAATTTTATTTTAGTGTATGAATTAGAATAATATATAGTACCTATATCCGTAACATTAAAGTATAAATACAATTTTTATTTTTTTTACATATTATTAGACTATGATTACCAATGATTTATTTGTTATAAAATGTATAACAATAACTATAACTATATTTATTTTAAAGTAATATAAATTATAAATATATTGGAACTATACCTACTATAAATTATATAGGTAGTTAAATTACATGCATCAGAAATTAGAAGGTAAATATTTATGTAAAATAAAAACATTTGATTAAAATTGTATTGTTACTTACCATTTTTAACCATAGTCGAATTTGTCAAATTTGTCAACATACTTTTTCCTACTAACAAAAACATAAAATTATTAAAAAAATATAATTTAAAAAAAATGTTTAGACTACTAATATTTTATAGTACTAACCAGATGAACCTGCAGATATCAAAGAATCATCATAATTTGTCTTAGATGCAGGAATTTCAGAACTGTCAAGTTTCAAAAGGTCAGTTTGGTCAAAAAGTAAACTCCGTTTTGCTCCTTTGAAAAATAAATATGAAATCATTTAATATACTACAAATAATATGAATGATTGTATAATTATTAAAATAAGTGTTTGAAGCTGGACAATTAAAAACATGATAATAAGACCTAATAATATGTGCACTAGAGAAACAATTAACAAATTATGCATAGCAAAATAATATATTCATAAATATACTACCTCTTTCAAATTTTAATTTTAGATTTGCAAATATTATACAGCATAAAATCATGTAATTTAATTATTTTGTTAAATTATATTATGTTTTATAACAAATAACAAAAAGTATGAGAATGCTATAATAGTTTAAAACAATTATAAAAATATATTCTACCGTAAGAAGATGATGTTGATGCTTTATTTATGGTTTTTAATTTTTCATTAAACAAAGGAGATTCTTTTCTTGCTGAGGATAACAAAAAAGAGCCATACATTATTTAAATTATTGAAATAATATATAGATATTGAATTATAATAATGAAACATTAAAATCACCCCCAGAAACAAATGATTTTGAATGACCACCTGCAATTATTAAAGGAGTTGAAGATTTTTGAATCGATATTTCTTTTTCAAGATTGCAATATGTATTAGGATTTTTTTCTGTGAAAATACAGTAAATTAAATAATTATAATGTTACATAACTTATATAACTAATTTTTTTTCATAGGTTCTTTTAAAGTATTGAAAAAAATACTAGGTATAAAAACTCATGTTATATACCTAACAAATTTACTCCGGCGTCAGTCACTTTTGTTTTTAATGGAGACCAACCATTACGTTTCATGTTGTCATGATTTGATTTATCAAGAAGAATATTATGTTCTGTATCTAATAGAAAAAAATCAAATGAATACACACTTCAAAACTAAAAATTAATTCAAATCATTATATATTAATTTTACATTTTACCTGAAATTAAACTAGGCATATCATTGTCATCATCATCTGAAGATTGTTCTCTATCTACACCATATAAAAAAAAATATCAGTATTGAAATACAAACACCATTGTATATTAACTATTATTTATTTTTAGATTACAACATAGTCTTGTAGGTACTAAAAAATTAATACCTATACAATATTCAAATTCTATCCATAGTTATCTTTGTGAAATATATATAGGTATGCCTACTATATAAACTTTATATATTACTATATAAACTTCATGACTCTACCTAGAAATTATAACTACCTATATAATATTATCATTATTATTCAGGCTTTTGCGTATTCACTACTTTGCTCAGTTTGTCCAAGAATGCCTTTAATCTTTTTACTTTTTACCTTCCTCTAACAACAATAGTACAATTTTAATATAATTAAATTATACTATAGGTATACTATACATATACTATTATACCTACATAGTTTTAAATAAAATCATTTAGAAAAATCTTACTTATATATTTAATATAAATGGCAAATTTTTGTATTATAGATAGTGAAATATTAAATCTTACCTGATTCAGAGCTTGAATTGATTAAAGTTCGTTTTTTATTCTTTAACCTTTTGGATATTTTATATTGATTTTCATCAGCACCAGAAGAGATATCTGATCTGGTTTTTGCGAACTCACATTTTCTCTGGGCATTTGCAAAATTATCTAGAGGTTGAAATACATAAAAATATTAATGTACCTATGGGCTATGCAATTATTTATTTATTTATTTTAGAGCTGTAATAATAATATAGTTATAGGTAGGTACTCGGGTAGGTACAACATTTTTAAATCTATTAAAAACTGAACAACAAAATATTCAAAATGTAATATAAAATAATATAGCACTTGATAACAGTGGCATGGTGAGCAATGAGCATATTTCAATCCTTTCAATCCCTAAGCAAAGTATTTAAGCAATGGTCAATGACCCACACATTACTTCTTTCTACATAATATATAATTTAAAGCTGTATGCTAATTTAGTTTTTTTGCTATATGATGACATCTATAATTTAGTATAAAAAAATACTACCTATAATAATTAATTCACATAAATAAAAAATGAAAAAATAAATTTCTAGGGCTAAGCAATTGCATTAGATAAACATCATCATGCCACTGCCACTACTTGATAATATATTGGAACAAATTAATAAATAAGAGAATAAACAATAAAAATAATATAAAATGTACCTATTTAGGTAGATATAACATATTATAATATTGATCTAGGTACCTAGGTACTTGGCACATTATAATATTGAAATATATATTCATATAAATATATAATACAATATACTCGTATATAAAAATAATTCTGTCATACCTATGTTTACATTTATAGTAATAGTAATAAAATTGAAATAGTTCTAAATTTCTTACCGATATTTCTAGCCATACACCGTGCATCAAAATAATTGAAATCTGTTTTATTGGGTATTATTTTCTTAAAAACAGCTCTGTGTATGTATTTTTTGTTTGTGGTTTTTGGCCAGGCACACTGTCCATTTTTTTTAAACCAATGCGAAGGGACTACCTCCACAGTATTATCCGTTTCAAAATTGATGACTGACCACATATTATATTCTGTAAAAATAAGATTTAATTGTTTTTATACCTGCAAGAGCAAGTGAATGATGAATAGATATTATAATTTGTAGGCATTTACTAGTTTAGAATTTAATTTTAAATATTTTTTTCACTTACAGCTGGTAGGTAGGTATGTATCTATATTTGTAGTAGCTACCTACCTACAACAAATTTATAAAAGTAAAAAAAATTAAATCTAAGAAAGGAATATTACTTCTTAAATAAATTGTATCTTCTATAAACAAATATATTAAGTAGATAATATAATAATTGTTGTTAATTACCTGAAGCCTATGTTTAGTGTTTACTAATCAGAAATAGGTACCTATTCGAAAGAACACACCAAGTTCGGAGGTTGAACAAAAAACAGGTAGGTATTTAATGAAAGTAGGTAGCGAAAACCAATGGTCAATGGACACCGAGACACAGTACTGTGGAGTATGGTTGTAGGAAAAAAACGGTTATTTATTTTCACCCCGTCACCGATTGTCGTTTGTCGATTAACTTTAAATGTTATTGTAATCGTGATTGTCACGTAGGCAGTGCTTACACGCTCGTCACTCGCGTTGCGCAGACTGGCAGAACTGGAGAGCCGAGTAGAGTCCAGACAATGGTGTTTTTCTCAACATCTTCGCTGGCCGCTGCACGCGCAATGACCTGACGATATTCCGTGTTGACCGTTTTGTTGTGTTCTAATTTGGGAATTACTTCACAATCGCCCATCGATAAAACCGATAACAATATTTTATATTATACAGATTACACCATTACAGAACTATTACAGAGTTGGCCGTAATGTTTTCTGTTTAACAGATTTGATCATATTAACATATTATTTTACATTTTTACCCATTGCGATTGTTCTATGGTTTTATGGTTTTTTGGTTCTATGGTTCTATGGTTTTATGATAAATTATTATCTTATATGCAATGTAAAGATGATACTATTAATATATACACGGGAGACGCTAACTTTTATTATAAGCTGCAAGTCTTATGACTTATATAGTCGCACACGCATTAGGTATTTGTTTGAATGTTTAATTGATATCGTTATTTTCGCTCTATTCGTTTTCTACATTGTTTGACACGACAATTCAGAATACCCATAATTTATTTATTTGTTGAAACCGCGACTATATTAATAGTAGTTTAAAATGAGTAATTTAAGTAGAACTACCAAAAGGAGGCGTGTTGAAGAGGAGTTAAATTGCATTATGTCAAATTTACAAGGTGAAGATGACCAATCTAATGACGGAGAAATCCCAGAACAAACTACAGTTACCTTATTGCAAATGTGTGCTAATAATGATAATATTGACGATATTCCACTTCCTACAAAACCATGTTCATTAGGTAGGCAGGTACTTTTATAAAATAAAATACATTTTAAATATATTTTAAACTCGGAATATTATAAGTACCTATTGGTGAAAATTAAAATAATCTTTATTTAGTATTCAAATATAGGTAATTGTATTATTTATTATATTATACTGATTTACTTATTCCATTACCTTTTTTTTTTAACTTTTTATTAACTAAAACAATAATGTATAAAATCTTATAACTTCCGAAAATAATTAATCTTCAACTATTTACCTACATAGATTACGTTTATCACTTTTCAGTCAATTAAATTGAAATTAAATGATTTTTTTACTTTAAAATTTTAAATGATACAAATTATTACAAATCTAACAATATATTGTTCAATAACTAACCGACAAACGTAGGGTTGTTACTTTTTGCTTAAATTGTCATACGTTGTAGATTTGGATAATATAATAAATAATAATTAAATAATATAATATTATTCCAATATACTGGTTATAGGTATAGATGTGTCGTGAAAAAGTACTTTCTTTACTCTTACATATAAACTATTGATGAGAATACCGTAAAACTATTACCTATATAGGCGATAGGTACTTATACCTTGGGAAAATGCATACTGTCTATACTATTGTACCTATCTATTGAAATTTCCTAAATGTCTGCATAACCACTTATAACTCGTAAATCATCTGCTACTATAACAATAATACAATATATGTCGATATAACATATTATTATTATGTAGTGATCTTATACACTATAATATAAGGTCTATACTCTATGGTAGTAATATGTTAATACACTTAAATGATAATAATATACATGACGTAATACATTATACGTATGCCGCGTATAACCAGTAGCATCTCCTAAATAATAAATATAACACTATTCAAAACTAAAACAGCATAATATTATATCAATATAAAATATTATTAATTTATTAAATTATAAATCATTGTAATAATATAAAATATAATAAGAAAAAAAACCAATTACATTTTTTTTATTCAATCGGTTTCAAGCTCCGAATTGTATCAATGATTTTAAATAGTTAAAAGTTATTTACAATAAGTAGGTACATAGGTATATAGATGGATATCTTATAATATGTCTCTTACAACATATAGGTACTTGTAATGTTCGCATTTGAAATTGTGTAAATAAAATTATAATTTATAATGATATTCATAATATTATAGTAAAATATTTTATCTATTAAAATAATAGTCGAAGAATCTACTGCAGTAGTTTTGTCAAATAGTGATGATGACAATACTAGTTCAGAAGACAACGATGAACCTGCAATAATTAATGATGAAACGTCGCCACGATTTACAATTGATGAACACGTCATATTACCTGTACCTGCAAATATTCAACTTGCCGAGTGGGTTGTTAAACATGGTATACCAAATACAGCTACATCTGACCTATTAAAAATTTTAAAATCTTGTTATGACCCTACACTTCCTACCGATGCGAGGACTTTAATGAAAACCGATACATCTACAAGCATTATACGTCTTAAAGATGTTACTCCGGGAAAATATTTTCATTTTGGCATTGCCAACGGTATAAAAAATAATTTCTCATTTAACCACGAAAGTTGCAGCATTTTAAAATTGGTAATCGGAATTGATGGGCTGCCTCTAACTAAAAGTTCCAATAGTACATTTTGGCCTATTTTATGTTACATACGACCTAATTCTCAATTAGTGTTTCCAATTGGCTTATATTGGGGCAACGCAAAACCCTCAGATAGTAATGAATTTTTAATTGATTTTTACAATGAAATTCGTGATTTATTATTAAATGGCCTGGAGCTTATAAACAAATCAGGCGTTGTCTGTAAAGTTAAAATTATATTGGATGTTTTTTGTTGTGATGTCCCAGCAAAGTCATTTGTACTAAAGACAAAGGGGCATAGTGGTTATTTTTCATGTTCACGCTGTAAGATAGAAGGAGAATACCTTAATCGAGGAGTATGTTTTCCAGAATTACATTTTACAAAAAGAACTCACGAACAGTTTGTTAATAAAGAACAAGAAGAGCATCACATTGGATCATCAATGTCTATTCTTATTAATATTCCAAATATAAATATAATCAATTGTTTTTCACTTGATTATATGCATTTAATTTGTTTAGGTATAGTGAAAAAACTGATTAAATTGTGGCTAAAAGGACCTTTAAATGTTCGAATACAAAGTTCCAAAAGTAAAATCCTAAGTTCTTCATTGCTTTCCTTAAAATCGTCAATAACTAATGATTTCCAACGAAAACCTCGTGGCGTTGATGAAGTTAGCCGTTGGAAAGCCACCGAATTTAGAACATTTCTAATTTATTTAGGTCCATTGGTGTTAAAAAATGTGATAACTGAGGCATGTTACTTAAATTTTATGTGTTTACATACAAGTATTTCATTATTGTTAACACCAAATTTAAGTGATCAGCTTTTGAACTATTGTAATGAACTACTTGTTTATTTTGTAAAAAAGTTTGCTGTTCTTTATGGTAAAGAATGGATTTCTCATAATGTGCATTCAGTCCTTCATATATGTGAAGATTATAAAATGTTTGGACCTTTAGACGAATGCAGTTGTTTTCCTTTTGAAAATCATATGAAAACACTAAAAAAATTTGTAAGGAAAAGCCATCAACCTTTACAACAAGCTGTAAAACGGTATTCAGAACACGTAACATTTAAACCACAAACTGTCATTCATAATTCAATTCAAAATAATATATTCACGTATAAAAATAAACATAGTAATGGACCTATAATTACGCTGCCCAATTTAAAGATCAAAAGCCAATTTAAAAATATAAATTTCAAAAATACAGAAGTAAAAATTAACGACTCCGACTGTTATATACAAACAAAAACAGGAGATATTGTAAAAATAGTTAATATATGTCATACTGCAGAAAATGAAGAAATTATAATTGGGTTCCGTTTTAAAATAGTAACTAGTTACTATCAAAAGCCATTGTCCAGCTCAAAATTAAATATTTTTTCAGTTAGTGATTTAAATAATAGTTTACAATATTGGTCAGTGGATTGTATAAAATGTAAATGTATGGTTTTAAAATATAATGAAAATAATGCGGTTTCTTTTGCTCTTATTCATACATATATCACCAATGGTTTATAATAAATACTTTTTTAATTTTATATTTTATATTTTATATTATTATAATAGTTTTAAGAACATTTATAAAGTTGTGATTCAATAACTAAATACTTGTTGGTTGTTAAAATATTATAATTTTGTATTTATATAGTATAGATACCTATATTAATATTTACCATTATGATTTCTTATAATTTATAATATAATATGAGTATACATTTTTTTTTTTTTTTTTGAAACTTATCATTAAGCATAATAATTTAAAACTATATGTATATTGTACTAAACATGTTCTAGCTATGGATTGTTATATAATATACATATTATTATTATTATTATTAAGATGCTATTTTTATAATAATTTGAGAATTGAATGTTTTTTTTTAATATCATATAAATTGAATGTAGTTATATCGTATGACATCACGTCATTATATATCTAAATATACACGAAATTAATAATTAAATCAACTTACCTTTTCTAAAGATGTTTATTCAGTTCTATAGATGTTGT